AAAGCCCAATACTTGAGCCTAGAATTTCAAGTTTGTACCTAATACCTTATTGAGGAGTTCTCAGGGAATTCAGGTAGTGTGCCAAGCGACTAGATAGTGAGGGTCCGAGCCGCCGCGTCCACTAAAACGGCTCCTGATGGCTGCTCAAAAGCCAAGCTCAGGAGACAATCTTCAGAACAATTTTCTGGAGCCAAGGTTCCCAAGGACAGAAGTCATGGCACTGTCGCGAATCGAATTGCACGACTAGGGCCCTCAAACCTTGCCTTCACTGCTGCGACCGCTGCATTTCTACTCGTTGGCAGCACCTGAAGTGTCTGCGCCTGCAGTGTCTGCACTCTCTCCTGCGACGTGTGCTCTCGCGTGTTCGCTTTCCTCGCCATGTTGTGCCTCTCCGCTTCATCGCGATATATTCTAGAAAAAGAAAAAGCTCATGGTTTCAGCGTTTTCCATAGTTCTTTTTGTTATTTTCCTCTCTCAAGGTTTTCTTTGCCTCCTCTTGTTTCATATTTAGGCGAAATGACCACAGATTTGATCACAGACTGTGCCTTTAAGTTCTATACCCGCTTTAGTAATGAAAACGAGACAGCAATGATAAACAAAAAGTCCAACTTTTTGAGCTTTAAAGCTAGTTTCCACGGGAATCTTTTTGAAATGGCTAAGGTTTTGTTGTTTTCTGGATCTTTTTTCACTCATTCTGGGGCATTCTTTAGTTCCGATGCGTTTCACATGCTTTGAAGATCCGCAACAATCTTGATTAAGATAACGGTGTGACAAAGGTTTCCGTAAGCGCACCTCCCCTGAAGAAAGTCACGCAAGTGCTGCACATTCACATTTAGATTTCCCCCATATTTGACCCTTTTTTCCAGACTTATCACGGGGTTTGGGGGGGAAGAACACTCCTATCTTGCAAAACAACAAGGCCACGTGCAATGCGAGAGAACTCAACGAGATTGCTGTAGTGCTACAACATCTGCCGTTTTTTTAAGTGTTGATCCGCACTTGCAGAATTGTTCAATGTTCACATTACAGTCTGGAAACTTGCCCAGATGATAGAAAAAAGACG